CGAAATTTCGTTATTTTTTTTTTTTTTCCTCTCCCGATATAATTTTTCTCACCGTGTATTGTCGCTATCTGACGGAATCATATCATATCAGGATAAATATTTGCAGACGAATCGATGCGTATTATCGCGTTACCGCTGGGGAATTCTCGCAGGTTTTGTTGCACGTTTGCCTGTGCATACACATGTATGTACGTTGTGCACACGAATTTATTGAAAGTTATTGTTGCACGAAATTCCAAAATTTTAATATTTCAACTAATAAAATTCAAGTGTTCGTTTCCATCATTTTTCCCCTCCCGGTTTTTACTCGCGAATTTATTGATCTTTCGAAATGCGAGCTGTTGACGAGAAATCAAGTTCCGATCGATTCTGTTTTCCAAGGAAATTTCTCAATTTTAATTTTCATCTCGGTTCATTATCGTTCAGTCAATTTCTCGAGAAATCAAACGATGATGTCCTCCTGGCTTCTTAGTCCACTGATCGATTCACCGTTATACGAGTTGTTATAACCGCGACGCTTTCGAACACGCTCGATCGAGCTCGCAACTCTGTCTCACTCTTTGAATTTACGAATCACGGATAGACTGCGGCGACGCTTATTTTACCAAAAAGTTCCAGCCCTCGAGAAGCTTTTCAGCTGGTCCATTTGCCCGCAGGAAAAGAACGTTCTTCCACAAAGTAGTCGTCGGTGGTTTCATGGAAAGTGTGGTAAGAGAGAGGAGGGGGGCGACGACGATTGTTCCAAGCACGACGCGATCTATTTGCCTTTCGGATAAGGCGAATCCTTTCCCCTTTCGCGATATATATCTCGGAACGTTCGAATAAACTGGCTAAAATACCATCAATTTTAACCATAACCCTGAAATATATTATTGCCGAGTTATTCCATTCGCCACTTATTCTAGCCACGTTTTCAAGAGATTGGCGATATCCTTTTCGCGTTTGAAACGACCAAGACTGTTCTCGGTATTGGTAGAATTATATCTGTAGATGCGCTGTTTCGGGGTTAATTTTGTAATCTGTCAAAGTAACGAGCTTACTCTATTAAATTATTTTTTGCTACTAAATTGTATGTGTATGGTAGTAAGTTATATGGTCTAGTATCTAAGGTACAACTTCTACCATATATAAAAGTAACTTGAAAATAGAGAATAAATTTTTTGCATTTAGAAAATTTTTTGTTCTCGAAAAGATCGAGTTCGGAAATTTATCGATCATACTTGAATTTAACTAATTCCGAATTGGTCAGGAACAAGTAATAGAATAGAAAATTATTCTACCTGTGAGAATTAATCAAAAGTGTAACTATTAAATATTTTGTTTTTTTTTTATCAGGCCTCAAACAAGAAATATTATTTTATATTTTTCCCTTGTTTTCACAGTCAGTTCTGTGCAATTCAGAATGAACGAAATTCAAATATGACAAATTTTCAAACCTGATTTTCTCGAAAGTGATGACTTTAATGACAAAATTTTATTCTTTTCATCTTGATGAACTATATACTATACTATAACTTCATGTTCATATACTATATACTATTCTATAGTATGTACCATAGTATAATAAATATTTACTAATAAACTTACTAGCTATCTTTACTATTAAAACATTTCTTTACAATTATTTATTATTGATATATTGATCATTGATACTATTACTTATTATTAATACAAACATTTATTATACTCAACATTGCATTGTGCATTAACCAACGTGGTCTCTTTCACTGGAGGCTAGCTCGAGCCTCCAGTTCTCTCGAACATATCGTTCGCCATTAATCTCCGCGATCTCGAAGATTTTATTGGCCGTGGTTCCACGTGGAGCGTGCAGTGAAACGTTTCCCTTTCGCGAGATTTGTTTCGTTCTAACAGCCCGATTTTCCGTCGTACCGCAACAACCACGAATCATCGAGAAAACAGTTTGTTACGAGCAAACGTTTTTCCTTCTCCACTTCCTTGTTTTCCGCGTTTCGTTTATTCCTCGTCTTTCGTTCGCTTCTCTCTTTCTCTCTCTTACTTTCGGAGTCTGGACCCGTTGACAAACATGAACCTTCCTCGGGTCACATCGTATCGCCTCTCTCTCTCTCTCTCTCTCTCTCTCTCTCTCTCTCTCTCTCTTTTGCTGCAGCAAGCGTTTTACTTTCTCCCACAGTCACCGTGTGGAATTATTATTATGAGAAATAAGGGGAGCGCCAGGGCATTTGTTAAGCACCGCCTGACGTTTTTACGATCGTGGAGAACGCGCGGAACGGTCCTGTAATTTACGGCACGCTTCACAACTGTCCGGACGTAATCTGATAAATTCAACACCGAACGAACGAAGATCCGAAGTGTCTGATTAAATCGCGATCGCGAAACTCATCGAAGCTCGCTATTCGCGTATTTGCTCGTTGAAAAATTTCGCGCTTGATCATTTGCGGTGGCAACTGGTTCCGCGGACCATAACGAGCGACCAAACAATGACTCGTCGCTTTCCATTCGAACTCGTTGGTACGATATCACTGGATAAAATTTATTATTAATATATTATATTTAGATATACTTAAGAATGAGAAAATATTGCAATTTTCGGGCAAAAAGTTCTAGCGCGAGAGGGGTTAATAGCTTCAGCAACAACGAACTTGTCTGAATTACGCGTTAGTGTGAAATATGTCTTACTCTGAGCATTCTGTGGCCTTACTCGACACTAAATTAAGGATACTTCGAGGGCGAATAATCCGCTTAATCCGTTATTTAGCGTTCTTATAATTTACGATGAGGTTTAGGTGATATTTAGGGTTCGTCTAAGAATAGTCGAAAGCTGAGTATTTCGGAAAACGGTAGGCTGAGGTGAGGACAAGTAAATTGTTTTGAGTGTAAAAGATACACGGGTGGCAAACAACTCTGCCTTGCATTCGAAGGAGATATTATTGTAGGGCATTTTTCTCGCTGAAAGAATGAAATTTTTTCGCCGTTTCAACTTCTTAATTGAACGAATGGGTATTTAAACGACAAATGTTTTTCTTCCATTAAAGTTCCCGTAGATCTTCGTCGAGTTGAACGATGAAGTCAGGTTTTCGATTAACAACGAAGGGCCAAGCTTTTTCGACAGCTGTTGACATATTGCCATACAGGTGATAGGTTCCATCGATTCCTCTCTCGCTCACTCTTTCTCGTTTTGTACAAAAACCATCTTTATTCCAACTGAAAAAAACGCTTGCAGAGTAGAACTTTCAAAACAAAACCTTCTTACGTCAAACACGGAAACAAATTCCGAGTTCTTCTTATCGATTCAATTTAGAGTTCTTAAATTGCACGGAACCATACGGAAAGTTCGAGGCTCTCCTTGTCTTGGCTCGATCAGTCGATGAAAGTCCGAGGGAGCTGAGAAAAGGAGAAAGGTCGAGCATTCAACAATGATCCGCGAAGAGAGGAGTTAAATTTTTCCCTCCAACAAGGACGAGAGAGTTTTTCGAAACCGGGAACGAGAAGTTGGCCGAAATCGGTCGCGGTCAAAGGGACCCGGGCGACAAAAGTGCGGCGACTGTTCGATTGAAATTTCACGAGAGACAAAGTTCAGCGACGAACGATCAAACAACGTTTGCATTCCACTCGCGGACGTGTCTCGTCGAACGACGATCCGAGGCGAAAACGGTTCGACGTCAGCTTGCGCGTTGAAGCGCTCGTCTCGTCACGATTGGCGAATTTTCGACCGATCTGCAACGTGTAATTGCAACGATTCGTTCTCACCTTTCCACCTCTCTTTCCCACCGGCAGCCAACTGGTTGCCAGTACATATATTTGTACGATTCATTTTGCAATGGCGCGTGCATAGCTAATCGGGGGATTTATGGGCAGGCTGCGAGGGCAGCCTGGCCGCATTAAATTCCCATATTAATAATTCCGTGCACGATCGCCACGAATGCTACCGCGCGGAATGTGTTAAATTTCAACGAGCGTCCAGCCTCGAAATTACGAGGACTTAACTTCGGAATGGAACCTAAACGTGGACGTTTAACGCCGATCGCGTGATCTTGGAACACGGTGATGTGGAATCGATCGATCGCTTGGGGGATGTTTCTCGCCACTGACGAACCTAACCTTGCGTCACGTATGGGAATTCGATGCGACACTGAAAACATTTATTTTTTTATACGTGATTATACAATACGATACTACGCACAATAGCGATTTGTGATTTTACGTGTCACGAGGATTATTTGTGTGACCTAATTCTACTTGATGATGCGAAGGAACTGATGATTTTGACGTGTTGCAACAATGGAGAGCACGTAAAATAATGGAATAAAATTTATAGCCTTTGCACTCGACTGTCCCTTCTGAAGAGACATCGTTACTTAAATCTAGCAATTTTTATTTGCTATGTAATGTGATGTAAATAGTATGATAGTTTGAACACACGCCTAGAGCGAAAGTTATAACAACGACGTAAAAAGGACAAAAGTATTTCGGAAGAAGAAATTTCTGAAGACGGTCCTTCAAGTCAATTGACACTCATTGGACTAATTCACATAAGCTAGATTTCTTATTGCTTCTTACGAATGTTTAAAAAATGGCGGAGGATATTATTTTTCCAGAGATTGAAACTGTCTTGCATATTATATTTGTTTCAGCATTGCTTTAAATTTAAACGACATCACATGTTGGAAAGATATAATTAACAAAATTTCGTGTTAAACACCATTTGAATAATTATTTTATTATCCAATGCTATATGCTTCGTAAATAAATTGTTGGTAGAAGAAAAAGTTGGTCGAGAGCAAAGGGTCTGTCACCAATTGCTGGCACAGAATCTAACATGGTACGATGATGCAGGTTTTTCGTGAAACATTTTCTATTAAAAATGTCCAACATTATATTTTTTTCGTTTTTGTGCGTTCCTTTTGTCAGATTCTCTGCCAGTGTCCAAAAACTGGACGCACAAACGGCCAGTGATTAAGGATAAAAACGATCAGCGAAACCTGTGAAACTCATCTGGATATGAACTCTTTTGTTTCCAGCCTACCAAACTGAACGTATACAAGAACGACGCGGAAAGCTGGGACTACACAACGCCGACGCTGGGTGAGTTTTCCCTCCGCAATTTCTTACCCTTTTTTTCTATCTCTCCGTTTTCTCGTTTATTTATCTACTTTTTTTTTCTTTTTTTTTTTTCTTTTTTTTTCTCTTGGTCCTTATGTTCGTTCGTCGAGAACGCGCGTTCTCGCTCGACCGTTCGTCAAGCATTTTAATCATCGACATCACGTCAGCAGGGGCTGCGTGTACGTGCGTACACGAACTTCTCTCCGCCAGGGTCTGGGAATCGTTCCTTCTCTCGCCTCTGTTTCCATTTAAAGAATCGCCATTTCGATATACGCTTTCAGCGGGCGGCCTCTTGCTCGCGTTTTCTTGACGCCGAGGGCGTGTGCAGCCGTGCACACAGAAGATGATGCTAATTGGATAGAAACGTAGTCCTCGATGCGAGCTTGCAGGGTTTCCGTAAAACGTTTCCCCCCGCGTTTTAAGTTCACGTCTACGCGCCATCGGACGACACGCGGGAACGTCGATCGAACGTCGTCGTCGAAAAATCGAAGGAAAGTAATTAAAGTATATCAAAGTCGCGAGTCGATCAAATTCGCGATGAATAATTGAAATTGAATTTCTGAATATTCGACATATTACACATAATTTTGGTAGACTGATACAGTAGTGTCCTGCTAAATGTCCAACAATCGGGACCGAAAGTGGACTGTTAAGAGGGGTGGTGTATTCTACGAATTAGCCATCGAAAGTGCGGCGAATTCCAATATTGTTCGATTGTAAAGAAATTTTAACATTTCAACATTTTATTTCAACTGAATATATTGAAACTGTTTTGAATTTAATACGTGCATACTTTTGAACTAAATAAAGGAATAAATTACAGTGAAGCAATAATTGTCAAACGATTGTAATTAATCTAAATTTATTGACATTCCTAGAAAACTAGTTGTTAATCAATAAATGGGAATCTTGAATGAAGGTCTTGTTATTGATTTTCATCAATATTAAATTAACAATACGCATGGTATGGTTCTATGATCGTATACATACAAATGGCGCGTGTATTTGACATAAAAATTTGTCTAATTTTGATCAATATGTGTCCGAAACAATCGTAATGTACACGGTATCGTTTATCGTTTCTTTCATTTCATGTTTCACGCGGCCGTACGCTAAGAAAATAGCGTAGAGTGGGGATAGCAATGGACGCCTAAGTGGACGACTACTGTATCTGTACTGATGAACTTTTGCGCTCTCGAGTACGAAAACGACACGTTCAAGATACGATGAGCTCGTCTAGTAAACAAGTCTTTGCACTTTTTAACACTTTCCCGGCGGGATATTTGAAATGACAGTCACGCGTGAAGAATATTATATGTGTGTTACAAAATTTTACTTTTTATATGTGTGTTACAAAATTTTTGTTACTGTAGCATTGTAATTTTATTAATGCATACGATACGACTGATTTCTCAGATTTTCGTTTGAACTACTTAAAAGATACGTCCTTGTCAAAGTTAATATTAATTTCTGTTTCGACAGAAGCACGACTGCACAAATCATCATTTGTTTTAATCATCGCTTAAACAAATTTATACGTAGAATATTTTGATACAGTTGTCCTAATGTCAAGAAATTTATTTATTTTTATATGAATATTTTTGGATAAAATTAAGTACGTACACACGGCCGTGTATGTGACGGCCACCGTGAAAGTGTTAACACGAAGAAGACACGACAATTACGTTTCTGTTGATTTGTTTTATCTTACGCGCACAAATATCGCGACGCCTGGCGCGATTTACGTTTTCAATACAGAAAGAGTTCCCCGGTCAAAGTTCAAAGTGTGGCGTCGGTTTCCCCAGTCGTGGATCATTTTCATTGCTTGTGCTCGCAGAGGTCGAACGAAACGAAGAGGAACGATTCCCAAGTCCAGCCGATACGAACGAATCATTCTCGTCCCATCGCTATTCGTCGCATCGATTCATAGCCGCGTATTACACCGAGCAAACGAAGCGAACCGATCCACGTAACCAAACACACACGCGCGTATGCGCCACGCTTTTATGCCGGTCGACATAGAAACATCTCGGTTCGCCGGAAACATCTCGAAAAAAAAAAAAAAAAAAGAATAATGAAAGAGTCGAGGAACACGCGGCGAACGCACGTCGTATCGACGTGTGTGCGATCCATTGTAGCGAGAAACGATGAAGGCACTCGTTAGAGAACAGTACTCCCCGATATTTTTGTCGTTTTAAATCGCAATTACCCGATAGCAATTTATTTCGCGTCGCAAATTGACGCCAGCTACGACACGATCGCGCGTCTTTTTTTGTCTCTGTCTGCCTGCAATTGTCGTTTGCAGGATATTTCTTCGACCTGGTTCCGAATTTTCCACGATTTTCGTGGACGTAATTAGGATTGTCGTTAGGTGTGCAAGACATGGTAACGTACAGAGTGTATCCTGGCGATACAATTGATCCTACGTGAAAAGAGAAAATAAAATTTTTTTTTCGTTTTTAGCGTGTTAAACGTTGCTACAGTGACTTTCACATGTGTTTTTTGAATGATACGTATGAGTAGTTCACTTTTTTCTCAGTCGGATATAGCTGTATACGTCATTGTGGTTCTTTAAATTCTTTACATGGAGAAAACTCGAATTTACTCGTCCTTTTAATTTCAAAACTTTTAATTTATCCGAGATTTATTCGAACGTAGTTACGTAGTACCGGATATGAACTTCATTATTACACTTTTTTGCAATATCTCGCCGGTTTTACAATTTGTCAAGTACACTTGAATTTAATTAATTCCGTACAGACGTGAATATATGATAATTGGTATACGGAATCGGAGGATATTCGAAAAAATACGTGAAAATTGTAGAACAAAATTTTTTTCATTCAAGATGTCATTTTCGAAACAATACGTTAAAATAAATTTTATTGAAGATTACCTGGGTAAATTTTCAAACTCGATTCTTTCGAAAACGAGCCATCTTGAGCAAAAATTTTATTCTACATTTTTTTACGCGTAGAATAACCTCCCTTTTAACGAAATTATTCGTCCTCGTCACGTCTAAAATTAGCTAAATTCAAGTATACTTGATAAAAGTATACTTCAAACTTGAATTTCTCGGAAACGAAGGAAAAAATTGTATTCTTTCTTCTCGACTCGTTTTCTTTCGGTTGTTACCACTAGTTACAAGAGGACATCCTACAACATCACAAAATACTCGGACACTCGTATTATACGAAGCATTTTTATTAGTTCACTGCAAACGACACTCAAACATCGAACGAGAATATACGAAAAATTTGAAACGATTCTGGAAATCTATGTGTAGTACAAAAGTCGCAAGATGTAAAAAAAAAAAACCATTCAAATCAATTATTCAATACATTAATAAATCATAATAAGTTCGATAAGATCGTCTTTATCATTTGTCTCGTGCCCGAGGATAATCACTCGGGCTGTAATTTACTAATTTTTTTTTTTATATTGAACTTATTACCAATTTTTTTTATCGAACACGACAGTTCGTTTTGCCTCGCAAGAGTGCTGAAACGTAATGAAATTTTTAAATATTTCACACGTTCACTCTTGTTGTGCACCTATGGCAAGCGCAAGTTGAAGTAGCTTTGTGAGCCATCAAGTTTCTCTCACAATCAGTTGCATTTAGGGTGGGCAGCGGGGGAAGCTAATGTGGCGATTATCGCGCGCGCAATTCGGAACAATCGAAGATTTAGAGCAGAAAATGGCAGCAGGGTCTATCGCGCCGGCGGATGGGTAATTGGCGAGAAAATTCGATCGTTTAGTTGACTTTTTCCTCGAGGGATTGCGCGAGCTGTGAATTCCTAGATCGATCTCTCTCTCTCTCTCTCTCTCTCTCTCTCTCTTTCTCTCTCTGTTTGGAACCCGGCGGTTCTTAACTCGGTTTACCGGCCGAATTTAAACAGAAAAGTAATTAGAATACCTGGTCGATCGCGGAATTTTAAACGCGCCTGTGTGTCGCGCGCGAGGTGCCATTTGAATCCAGCCGAGTTCTCTGTATTCTTCTTACGTGCGAGGCAGCCGCGAATCCAATTATTACGTCGATCCCTTAAAAATTCCCCCGGCCAAAGTTTCAGAGTTGAAGTTCTCTCTGCTCGAGATCCCGAGTACGAATAGGCGATTCGATCGCGTGCTCCTCGAGCGAGTGTGATTCTCAAACAACTCGAGGAGTGGCTCGTTAATTTTCGACTCGAGAATTTCGATTCCGAAAATGTCGAGACGTCGGAATGGAGGTTAACGAGGCTTTAGCAGCAGATTTTAGAAGGCGAAGTCTTCGATTCGTCGAAATGACGACGTGGCGGGCTATGATCATCGACACTCGCCTTCTCAACTCGTTGTAGGTGTGTCAGGAGTGTGCGAACGTCGCGTCGAACATCATCGTTCGATCATCGGGGGGACTAAAAAGTTTCCCCACGGCATCGTGGCGTAACATTTGCATTCAATGCTCGTTTCAAACTGTGACTTCGCTGCAATTTTCTTATGCTTCGCGTACAATAGAAACTTCCGCCATAATAGAAACATTGAGAACAAACAGAATGTTGTTTTGTTAGATTTTAATTAGACGGTAATGTAAAATTCCAATTTCGGCGATCGTTGAATTCTGTTTTACACGATAAATAACGAACAACTCCAAAAGTGCAAAAATAAAACGAGGAAAAGCTAGCTAGCACGTGTGCGCGTACAACAGAGTTTCATCTCTGTGTGATCAAGTATGAAGTCGAGAACTGGCATGTAAAAGGATTTGCATGCTGTTATGTTATAATATTATATTATTATATTATATTTATTACACCATTCACATTCACACACCAATTAATTAGGCTCAAATTTGCGTTGAATTTCACTTTTCTGCACGCTCTGATTACAAAATAATCGACGAGTAGACATTACGGTGCCAAAAAAAAAAAAAAGAGACAGAGAAAAAATGATGTGCGTTAATAAATCAACGACTGCGTGCATGGATCATTCCGCCTGATAACAGAGACCGTGCATTACTTACAAAATATTCTGGTTCGTGAAGCAAGTGGGTTGATGTTAAGTGCTACTTACAAAGCAGTACGTTGTAAGTGATTAAATATGGTTCCCCTCCCCGCAATCAGTTCGAGCATAGAGCTTTTAATCGCCGTCTCGATCACCCGCAGGAGCAACAAAAAAAAAAAAAAAATCCGTCGTATTCGATGCTGGAACTACGCTGATGACGCGCGATTTCTCGCGCGGCGGAACGATCTCTCTCGAAGCAACTAAACGTGTAACAACCGCGAGGAGTTGCGAACGAGCGAGCACGGATCGCGTGCCAGGTACAAATCCCCGTGCAGATGCGATGCCGCGTATAAACGACAAGCAGGCACGGAATTCTCGTGGAATTCAGCCCAATTACATGCTCATATCGGTCGCGAGTACTTCCCGATGCACGAGAAACGTTCCAGGTTTGGCTGTCGGAGCAACGATCAAGTTCGCCAGGTAATTTGTCCGTCGGTCGTCGCGACGTCGCATCTTGCCGAAACGCTCGAAAGAGTTGGACGAAACTGGTCTACTAGTAGCATTAGAGATAC